AGAATTTCCCATTCGGTGCACCCCTACTTATGACAATATGTATACAAAACTGACCTGCAAAACAGGAGAAATGATGAACAACAAAATCCTGAGCTGCTCGTTTGGCGGGTCTTGCCAGAATGGCAAGCCAACGGCAGCACCGTCTCCACATCAGTCCGTTTACGGCAGGCGCAAATCACAACAAACCCCTTTACGGCAGTGTTACCCTGCCATCTACTGCCCCCTGCTGTCCATTGTTAAACAGGTTTCTAAAATGATATTAAATATAAACATAAAATTGTGATCACACACTTTGTATGGGTCACATTAGCAGTCAATCGGTTCATAAAGACATTTTTGATAAAGGAAAAAAAAAAAAAAGTTGAAGACACATTTCTAATCTTTTATGGACATTTAAAGCATGATTTGCTGTGGTGCATTCTGTAACCACAGTACAGGCCGTAAATAGTGAACTTCAATGTACACTACCAATCAAAAGGACACACCTTCTCATTCGAAGTTTTTTATTTATTTAAATGTTTTCTACATTGTAGATTTATACTGAAGACATCAAAACTATAAAATAATACTATTGTTCACTCTTGTTAATGCGCCATCCCAGACCTCATCATCTATAGCTTGGACTAGTTCCTCTTCCCAATCTTGTTTGATTTTACCAAGCAATGTTTCTGTGAGACGGGAGGCGGAATTGTAAATTCTTGAAATCAAACCTTTTTCGATTGTTAGAGTGTCCAGAATTGAGTCAATTATTGAATCCGGAGGGATATTGGGGAAGGAAGGGTTGTTTAGTTTAACCCAGTTTCGGACCTGGAAGTAGCGAAATAGATGAGTGCCTGGAAGGCAAAATTTGTCAGAGAGTTGGCTAAAGCTACCGGAAACATTGTTAATGTAAAGGTCCCTGATAAGACCTAATCTCTGCCACATAGAGAAGGCCCCATCAGTGTAAGGGGGGAGAAAGAGATGGTTGTTGCGAATGGGACTATGTATAGAGGATCCACAGAGTCCATGAGCCTTTCTCAATTGGGACCAAATTCTTAGGGTGGAAACAACAATCGGGTTATTCGAATATTGAGTTGGCCGGCTGGGTAATGTAGATATAAGCAAAGCCAAGAGTGAGGTATTAGGACAGGATTTGGCTTCAAGCTCAGAACCAACTCAATGTTGGTTCCTTAGTCCATAGAATTACTTTGTGGATATTGGCTGCCCAATAGTAGTGTCTTTTATTTGGAAGCGCTAATCCTCCTGTAGATCTATGCCTTTGTAAAAGCTCTTTCCTAATTCTAGGAGTCTTCCCTTGCCATAAAAAAGAGGAGATTAGTGTATCTATTTTACGAAAAAGTGATTTTGGTAGGAAGACTGGCAGACATTGAAAGAGGTACAGAAAGCGAGGGAGAACGTTCATTGTGATACAGTTTACCCTCCCAGCGATAGATAAATATAAATTATTCCACCTTTCCAAATCATATCTGAGCTTGTCAGTTAGTGGTGGGACGTTATCTTTGTAAAGGTCTGAGAGTTTTCCACTTATATTCACGCCTAAATACTTAAAATTACTCCAAGACATCTTAAAGATTATGAGTCTATCGGGGATCTGAAGGGCCAGGTCATTTACGGGGAAGCACTCACTCTTGGAAAAGTTTAGCTTGTACCCTGAGAAGGTTCCGAATCGGGTTAACAGATCTATTATCTGAGGAATGGTAGATATAGGGTTAGAAATGAACAATAGTAAATCGTCAGCGTATAACGAGAGTATGTGTTCAGAACCATATCTGGTAATTCCTTGTGTAAAGCTGGCCGATTTAAGCGCAATTGATAGGGGTTCGATTGCCATGGCGAATAGTAACGGGCTTAGAGGGCAACCCTGGCGAGTACCTCTACCTAGTGTAAAATATTGAGAACTAACCCCGTTAGTACTCACTGAAGCCTTGGGTGAAGAGTATAACAATGCTATCCACGACACAAATTTGGATCCGGGGCTGAACCTCTTCAGGACCTCAAATAGAAATCCCCACTCCACCCTTTCGAACGCTTTGGACCTTTCGAACGGTCTGATGATATGATGTTTGGCGTGACTGATTCAAGGCGTATGGCTAGTATTTTAGCCAGGATCTTATGGTCCGCATTCAGAAGGGAGATGGGGCGATAGGACCTACACTCAGAATGATCCTTGCCTGGTTTTAATAATACAATTAATACCGCCTCAGTCAGAGTGTGTGGCAACGTTCCCCGGTCCAGAGAGTCCTCGAACATTCTCAAAAGAAGGGGGGTCAATTTATCAATAAATTGTTTATAAAACTCAATTGGACAGCCGTCTGGGCCCGGGGCCTTGCCACTCTGGATCAGCCTGATCGAGTCAGCTATTTCACTAGGCTTTAGAGGTTGATCCAACTCACCCTCCTGAGCAGGTGTTATGGATGGAAATTCCAGATCATCCAAAAATTTAGTTCTGTCCGCATTATCGTCCGGGGCTTGTGAGGCATATAGTCCAGAGTAAAAGGTTTTAAAGGTGTCGTTGATACAGATGGGATTGTGTGAGTTCACGAGTATGGCGTCGTATTTGTTCTAGAGGTCATTTGTTGGGAAACCGACTATGCTCTTAATTTGGTGCGACTAGGAGACGATCCGCCTTCTCCCCATGTTCATACTGAAATCCACGCGATCTTAAAAGCAATTTCTCAGTCTCTTGAAAGTAAATTGTAGTCCATCTGAAGATTTTGCCTTTCTTTATCTAGTTCAGGGGATGGACATGTTGAGAGTTGGCTATCTAGTTTTGCTATACTGCCCAAAAGTTCTAACTGTTTTTGCTTTTTCATTTTGTTTTGCCTTGCAGAGTAAGACATAGTCTCTTTATTTGTTTGAGTGCAGGTTAAAGGAGGAATGTATTGTCATTGTTTCCATATACAGTATTTAACATACAGTAGAAGGGAATTGTGTTATATCTGTACTTCACAATATAATAACAGATAGAATTTCAAACAAACAGAACAAAGACAGTAAAGTGCATCAAAGAAAATTCACACATGGTAGGATGTGCCTCGTTGAATAAAAAACTGTAATAAAAACATTAATGAATAAAATGCATATAACCAATGGTAACCTATATTACTCTTTCTAGGAGAGGTCTCGACATGTCACAGGTCTGTCACAGAGCAGAAATAAAATGAGAGAACATTTAAAAAAGAGCAAAGCCAATGCATTATCATTCCTGTTCTGCTATTTGCAATCCATTTCAAGCTGCAGCAGCAGCAGCAGCAGCACATAAATGGATCTTTTCATATAAATTGGCCTTGTCCTCTCATGAGCCATCACCATGGTGAAGTGTGTTCACGGCCACTGCTTTGTTTAGTTCAGAGAGGATAGGAAGAGATGGTTAATGAATCATAAGGAAACATAAGCCTAACTTGGAATAATACACACCATTAGATGGCAAAATAGATCTGGAAAATATATAGGGTCAAAGGAAATGGCAATGTTTGCCAAAGGTACAGTAGAAATAAAATAAGTTTCTACAAGCAGACTTTTTCCTCTGGCTTTTTTCTTGATCCTATTTTCCCCACCAAATTAAGTCTCTTGACTCCCATCATCATACTAGATTTGCCACATTCTGCTTTTTACCAATTGCTGCCGCTGTGTGTGTGTGTGTGTGTGCGCGCGCGTGCGTGTATGCGTGCGGTGCGTGCGTGTGCGTGTGTTTTTCAACAGTAAATCAATTGTTTCCTAGACCTAGAGCAGGGACGGGCAACTTTGATTGTGGTGGGGGCCACATCATTGATGTACTGGCCACCAGGGGGCCGCAGATTAACTTGGAACACACACACACAAAAATGCCATGTTTTGTATGTAATTATTAACAAATATACTAAGTCTGACATCTTCATTGACATTTTACAATCTTTCAGGGAACATCCTCTAATAAGCTCACTAAACAAATATCAGTTCACAGAAATGTTATTTCATTTTTACAAGTGGCATGTTTGTATTGAACAGGTTATTAAACAGTGAAATAAAACTATTTTAAACTATTGGAAAGCACGGAAAATGTGTGTGTATTGAGATTAACCATTAAAATGACATACACATGAAGTCATGAGCACTAACCCAGACATTAGTTGTCTTACTTGAACCTAAAACACTTGTAGCCAGTCTCTGCATTCCCCTTATTCCACAATAAGGGTTGTTCCTCAGCAACACTCCCCCTCCCTCCCGCTGAAATTATGAATGAAAAGCATAGTAAGATAACACGGCAGGGTCCGTGACAGTTTGTTTTCATCTGATTTCAAATAAACAAAGTCTTGGTTTTAAGAATATTAAACTTGTTTCGCCAAATTCAGATGATAAATACAACTTTTAAGCTTGTAAAGGCATAATTACAACTTAACGTCACAGCAGGCATAACAACAGCCGGTGTTTCTTGTGAGGGTTTCCCCGGGAAACAAACACAATACATTATTGTATTAAAAAAGAGCATTATTGTATTGTATTTGAAATCATGTACGCAGCTCGCGACGTAACTAGGAGTCTAGTGGACGGTATCAGTACTACAAGTAAAACAAATTCAATTTTTTTTTTTTTTTTCAATTACGTTGTTTATAAATTAATCTGAGGGCCGCAAAAAGAGGAGGTGGGTGCCGCATGCGGCCCGCGGGCCGCCATTTGCCCATCCCTGACCTAGAGTAATACCAAAGCACATTTTTCAGTGCCTGCAGTTAGCTGTTAACATCTATTGGGTTTTAGCATGGGACAATCACTTAACTACGGCTAGTTTCCATTGACTTTATGAAGTCCTGGCACTTTCTGAAATATGGCTGATTTAAACCTTCACCTGTATGTTTTTTTTAATTTGATGACACTATCTAACACCGTACATCAGGCTGGAAAAAGAGAGAAAGGGAGAGAGAGAGTGAGTGTGTGTGTGTGTGTGTGAGAGAGAGAGAGAGAGAGAGAGAGAGAGAGAGAGAGAGAGAGAGAGAGAGAAAGAGAGAGAGAGCTCAACGCATGGATGTACTGTAACGCCTTCTCTCTGTCAGTGAATGCATTCACAATGAAAGGACGTTTGGCTTGACATTGAAGCAGAATTCAGCTGCTGGCTCGTTATTATAGTAGCCTACAATTCCTGTTCGCGGTATGGACGGGTTGCAGGCAGAAAACGGAGGAGTTGGCGGCATCGGGGAGAACGCTGAGGAGAGGTATCGCGCTCTCGCCTATGACACCGCTCTGAGCACTTTGGTGGCGGTGGCCGTTTACGTGGTGGTGAAAGTGAGCCTCGACGGCTTCAGACAGTGGCGGGCCAGGGTCTCGGTGCTCATTGTGGGCTCGGGTCCCGTGGGTCTGACGGCCGCGCTGGTCGCTGTCCGCTCCGGGAAGGTGCTGAAATTGACCGTGCTGGATGAGAGGTACCGGGCTGCCCTGCTCTGCCGGCCCCAGCAGATCGCCCTGGATCCCCGGAGTGTGAAGTTTCTGCTGGGACTCGGGGTGGACTTTGATAACATGGAGGGCTGTTGGCACAACGAGCACTTCTTCACCAGGATAGGCGTGTTTCAGGAGTACCTGCTGAGCATCCTGGAGCAGAAGAAACAGATGGTGGACGTCAAGGTGCTGCTGGGTAACAAGGTAACCTCCTCAAGGATTCCAGACTACAGTTTAGTTAACCATTATTAATCATGCTAGCACTTCAATGTGGGGTTTCTCTCAAAATAACCTTCATGTGCTTCTCTGACCAATAGGCTATTCATTATCTTACAACTTGAATTTCCTCTTGTCATATTTAATAGGCTACATGTATCACTCTTCAGGAGATAATGTTTGAGGACTTTGACGAGTGGAGAGGTAGTTTTCATGTCTCACACAACCTCATTCTGTAATGACTGTGCCTTCAAAGTCTGTCAAAACCTGATCCTCCCTTAGTGGCAACGGTCAAAGAAAAGTGGCTGGTGTGTTCCTCCTTCAGTAGGGGTCTGATATCTATCAGCTGTGATGGTGACAGAGATGTGTGTTCATATGTCCAATCAGATGCCCCTGAACAAGGCTGCTGTCTAATATATAGCTCACTCAATTATTTTCTGACATGTAAAGTGCCTTTGGACGCTCTCAATATGAGCCAGTTTTCCTTGTTTTTATAGAAACTTTTTGCATACGGGTTTTGCAGCAAACATACTCCTTAAATGTTACTTTCTCTTAATCACATTCATTTTTGACTCCAGCCTTACTCTGATTTACAATTCTACAATTTGACTCAAGCAAAAATCCTAAGACAACATTGAGTACAATTAGACTAAATGAGGGCTCATCTGTGGAAATAAACTGTAAAGTGAGAACAGACCTTAAAGGGGAAATCCTCAACCCTCAAATCCAAACACATTATTACATCAAAATAAAATGGATTTAATCCTATTTGGATTGCAAAGGATTTAATGTTATCAAACAGATTGAAATTGTAAAGTTCTGGCACCTCGCCACAAACTGTGATTGATGCATTATTATAAAACGGACAAGTCAAATCAAGCAATCTGATTGGTTCTTAGCCGTGATATACTGAGCGTATACCACGGGTAGAATTGTAAGACCCTCCGCTTCGCGTCGGGCCGAACCACGCCCCTTAGCTGTGATATAATGAGCATATACCACGGCCTGTCGTGAGCTATTGCTTAATTATATAATCACAAATGTTATGCCTTTTTTATAAAAAGAAGTCATGTTTATTTGGGTAGCCCTCACTTTGACCTACATGACATGACACCGACAACAACAGACAAATTGCATGATAACAACACCTCTCAGCCCTCAACTTAGAAGCAACATAAACCCACCAACCCAAAACCTGGGGTTACTCTGGGAGAAACGAGTTATCAGAGTGGGCAAACAATTGTTAAATGTTCAGTGAATATTTGTGTCATGGCTGGAAACCAGAGACACTGCTTCATTACTGCTTTATTGTGGCTGGTAGTGTCACTGAGGATGTTGTGACAGTAAAAAAAAAACTATCTTACTGCTACACTTGTGTGTTGCTCCTCGTCCCTGCCTCCGGCCAACAGCTTCTTTCATCATCAGCTTCAATGTCATCTCTGTTAGCTGCGGCTGTCCTCCCTGCTATCCAGTGACTCACCAACCTTCGGACGATGGAAAGCAGGGTCAAGAGGGTCTTTGATTACAACCAACATCCGTTTAATTTAGAGACTCCGCTTGATCAAACAGGACATTTTATTTGATGCATATTTTGTTTCACCCTCCTAGCCTGCCAGAAGTTTGAAGGTTTGATAATGCAAAAAGGGGCTTTTAAATGACCTGTTCTCTGCAGTCTAAATGGATGAAGCAGTTGCTAGCCAATGTAGCCCCTGTGAGTCTTTTTTAACTGGCTTTCTCCTGCTCAGCCTCCTACTCGGCACAGGAAAGTACCTGTTTTAATGAGAGGCAGCCATGCATACACAGGCATGACAATAAATCTCTCTGTGAGACGCACTGTTGCCGAGACACTCACAACTTTGTGAGACCATTTGAATGGCTTGTAAGGGTATTAATGCATTGTAATAGACAAATAAATAGAAGTATCAGCAGTAAAGACATATCTGTAGAAATAACTAACCATGCAGCTAACTAACTAACTAACTAACTAATTAACTAACTAACTAACTAACTAACTAACTAGCCAACTGGTAACATTGAATAAAGGAAATAATCATTACCTTCAACCCTCAAGTGTAAAACTCTTTTAATATGCTCTTGGTCCAACTATCCCACATATGTAAGCATTACAAGATACTATGCATAATAAGGCATATTATTTGGAAAGCAAACTTTATTTTTCAAAAATACTTAATATCTACAGCTACAAATGAAAACTAAAATGTTTATACTTCGTATCAGTAAATGCACTGTATTACTTCCCCCTCCAATAAAGGAGTCATTAAGCTATGAAAAAGTAAATCCTAACTCACTGTTAATACAACTATTATATCCAATAACCATAATAATAACAACCCTATTGCTTCAGTTTACAGAGGAATACCTGCGGCGAATCCCGCGGAACGAGTGGCCGCGTGTGATTGTGGTGGCTGATGGGTCGTGTGGCGACTCCTGCTCAGTGCTGGGCATCAGCTCTGACTACACTGTGGAGACCTGCCATGCCTATGGAGCTAATGCAACCATAGAGAGACTAGACCAGAGGCAGGTCAGGACACACACATGCACACTCACTCACACTCACACCCACACATGAACGCGCCCAAACAATCTGTAAACACATAAATGAACATACGGATGCATTAGCTCATGTGCACACACTGAGTCATTAACCAACAGGCTGCTGTTTGTGTAAAGGTTGTCAGGGAGTAGAAACAGGATATTGCAGGATGTTGCAGTGAGAGTCTTTTATTTGTCCTCATAAAACTGAGTAAAGCCAACAGTCATGTGGACCTGCATGTGAATATGATCAAATATATATCAAAAACATCCACCACAATGTTTTTCACTTAGTGTGCCAAAGGTCACTTGACATTATATAAACAGATCATTCAGATACCTTGACTGATAAATCAGAAAAGCCCCAAAAAACACAGAGAAGACGAATATGGAACCCTCCCTCAGAGGGAAATTGATTTTGAGTTGTGTAACATAAGCTGCAGATAAAGGAAATTGGAAATAAATTGGTAAGGCAAAGACATCTGATCTGCCTTTGGGGGAAGAAATATTGTTCAGACTGAAAAACAAAGGCTGCATTCTTACTGGTCCACTGAGGAGGAGACATTGAAACAGCAGACAAAGAATATTTACAGGAGTGGTCTCCTACATCAACCCAGACATTAGCCATTGTTGACTGTATTGTTCATAAAGATTGAATTGTGCTAATGATTATTATCAACAGTGACAATCTATATAAAAAAGAGAGGATTTGTTTGAAGGAACAAAGACATTGTATGAATCTGAACACAAGCATATCCCGCGTTGCTATTCTTTGCCACCATAACCATTCATAGTACGTTCTCTGTGTGTGGCTGCCTTTTAGTGGCCCCTTTTCTCCCTGGCTGTTTCCTGTACTGATTGAATTTAGCTCTCATGATGTGACCTGCCCGTCCCCACCATTGCTCCCATCCCCTCCCAGTTGCCTCCTGTTCCCTCACTATCTCCCTTGGTTGCGATAAATGCTGTTTTATCCCACTTGGTTGGCTTATGTCATTGAAAATAAAATGGATCCATTCTGGCTTGAGGGAAAATGTGGCGTCCTTGCCAGAATGAAGCACTAAATAAAAAGCTATTCTTACTCTCCACTCAAATGAATATATCCCCACAGGAAGATATGAGTAATGTTGTAATGTTTTCACCACATTAACATAACAGGGTGCGTGAATGCTAAGACAATAATGAGATGTGTTTTTCATGTCGACAAATATGACATTAACCTCCTTGTATATTTTGTGATATCTGAAATGATTTGATCTTTGATCTGTTCTTGCCTCTCCTTTCTTCAGGTACCAACACCTGAGATCCGTGCCCACAGCCTCTACTTCGACCTGTCGGCTTACGGGATGGAGGCCCTCCGAGAGCACCGAAATCCAACAGCCAAACCCGGCTTCCATCTGAAGATCTACGGCACCTTCAGAAACCGGTACATGGCCCTCGTGTGCCCCGCCTCCGACACCAAGATGGTCCGCTTCCTCAGGCACACGGCCAACTCCTCTGTGAGACTCTCTTTCTCCTTTTGATCAAATCTGAGATATGCTTACTTATTGTTGATGTTAAAGACTAGTTCCATGTTAATGCAAGAAAAACACAGATAAAAACATCTCTGGAGACAGCGCCGTGCTGAAATAGCTACTTATTGCTCACCTTGCATTCAGCAAATGGCCTTCGACTGCACTATTTTGGGAATCCATTAGTGTCTTTATGTGGGTGTATGTTTGCGTGAGTGAGTGTGTAAGTGTTTAAGTCTGTGGAGGTGGTTGAGTGTATCTCGGCAAAGAGAGCATGACATGAAGAAATGGGGAAAGAGGAGGAAGAGAAAATAGACATCACTGGTGTTTTTGTGTATGGAGGCCATCTGTACCCTGCCGTTACACCTCAGTGAACAAGTGGATCGCAGGATCCTTTCTTCATGTGCTCAACTACAGGCTGTTCGTGCATTTACAACCGCTGGGCAGTCTGTATTTATTTACACACTCTATGTTTCATGACAAGTACTGCTCTGGTCGAATGTGTGTAAGTGTGTAGTAGAGACAGGTAGACCATCCTTGGAGGGCTTGTTGCTATGTGGGTGGCCAATCAGATGCACTGTTACTTAGTTACAGATGACTGTGCACGTATGGGTTGTTGACGTGCAGAGTTTAGCAGAGAGAATGCACGAGGCTTGTCACTCAATACCCACAATTGCTTAAAAATCAATGAAAAGGCTCACAAAAGGTTTTTTTGTGAGTCACAGTTGTCTTGCAAACAGAAGAAAAGCTGCTACAAAACCTTTGGAAGTGGCATTTATTTTGACCTACAGAGCACCATTAAAACAGATAGTTTAAATGGGCTGCTGTGGTTGTTTTCATCATGGATCAATCTGCAAATCATTGTTTTGATCATTTGGTAAATTGCTTTGCTTTTCATATGGAATAAAAAAAAATATTACAATCAATATATATATCCTGTCAAATATGCTTTTTCATATCATATTATGACAAAGAAACGCAGACGTTGCTTGTAAAATCACTGAAATAATCAATTTGATGTTCACAATATGGTTAAAACATGGTAAGGTAGACTTTAGATGATGCTGTAAATGACATGCTCTGTTTTCTCGGCCTAGATCATGAAGAACATTTTCCACCAGTCCTTCAATGTGTATAAGACAGACATAGAGCCCCGTCTCAATGACGTGACTCTCCACCACATGCAGTGCAGCCGCCGTCTATTTGAGATTCAGCTATCCCACAGACGAATCAGCGCTGCCTACATAGAGGGGAACAATGTGGCGGTCACTGTGGAGGGGGAGGCAGCACGCGTCCTTAACTTCGACACAGGTACACATGTCTATAAAACCTTATTTATTGCTTTGCTGAGAATAAAAAGGGATATTTGCCCTTAAACACTGTACGATTCTAATATGTAATGTGGCATTGTCTCTGTCCTCAAAGTATTGATGAAGGTGAGACATAATATAAAGCAGAACAGAGAGCCCTCTGAATACATGAAACAGAGTGAGAAAGAGCAATATGGAAATAAAGGAGAGGATCAATTTTTTATGAGTTATGCCTGTGTGTGACTCATTACTGCATTCAATAACCTTTCAGCCAACGCGTATGGTTTTGTCTTCATGCTGCTTTATGTTTATGTATGTGCCTTTGTTCATTTAAGCCACAACTTTGACCTTAAGGATGCAAAAAGAAGAACAGTATAAATATAAATCTGCATTGTGAGTTACTAAGATAGATTTTATTTGTATGATGTTTGTGATTTCTGCTTTTCCTTTCCTTTCGGTTTTATCCTTCAGGTTGTGGGGTGAATCTAGGTATGCGGGGTCTGGAGTCAATGGGGACGTTTATTTACCGGACAGCCACTGCTGTAGACCAGAATGATGTTCTCGAGGCTCTGTCGGCTAAGATGCAGCACTCCAGACAGGTGGCTGAGACCTTCAAGCAGACTGGCCTGGCTCAATCAATGTATGAATGAAACACCAGGAAGTGAATGCATTGCCACCTAGTGGTGGATTACTTCTGTTCACCATGTATCATGAGTCTGATGCTGAAATGGACCACTAATAGCTACATACTGATGGAGCTGAACCAGCATGAGCTGTCAACAGATGGATGATGGATGTAAACATGCAACCATATGTTTTTGTAGGTGGATGTTTGTCTATTGATGGAGCGAGAATAGCCAAGGCCACATTTGGATCAGTGTTAAGGTTGTAAAGCTTGTTAATACTGTGCATCAAACTATGTCAGAAAAGAAAAGAAAAGAACATTTTGGTGTTGTAATGAAAATATCCCTGTAAAGTTTGAGATTTTAAGAGAAAGAAATCTAGTCCTAAGATATTAGGAGTAGTTGGAGTAAATGAAAACTACTTTTCATCACTGTCATCTTCTCTTTCAAAAGAGAAGGAACTGACATGATTTAAAATATTAAGCTCATTGTGCTTTCTGGACACCAATTGTACTAGTAGAAATAAGTATGAGCCATAACATCATCAGCTAGCACTGAATAATGTTCAACGGTTATTGTCCAGAGGAATCGGATCAGAAGTCCAAAGTGTTACTATACATACGTACGTTCGTCCTCGTGTTTGTTGGATATGTGATAACTGTGGCGATGAAGTCCTAAAGTATTTGCTAGAGTGGCCTATGTTTGTATGCAGCCTTGTAAATGTAGATGTTTGCCTTATTTGAAAATAGTGCTGAGATCATACTACAAGCCAATTGTGATATCACACATGTATTTTTATCTGGTGTAACATGTTACTCTTTTTATATTTTGATCCAGGTGATCTAAAAGAGTTAAAGTGCCAATAAAGATAATGATTTGGCAGGAGTGATATGGAGGGTCCTCAATTTAAAAGCAACTTCAAGTTAGTTGCTCGTCAGGGCTGATATATATTTTTATTCTGTAAATAAAGATAATAAAATGAAGGCTTATACAACAGACTTAACTGTTCTATTCTGTCCATTATCAAGTTTTTTAGCATTCTGTTGAAAAACTTGGAAACATTTTTGTGAACTGCAACCTATTAAGATGATACAGTAGTCAGGTAGGCTGATATGAGGCAGTATTGTCCTCTAGTGGTGTATTCCTTCAGTTGCATCTGCTCAGCCCGAAATTACAAGACCTCTCACTCCTGTTTGTATAATTATTTAAGGTATAGACAGTGCTGCAAAAATGGGGGCCTAAGCGACATTTTGTCATGAGGCCCCCTGTGCAGATATTTAGACAACGCCCATAGGCGATGCCTACATATCTTTGAACTTGTTTAAGAGTTATATATTGTAATTTTATGTGATCCATCGTCCATGTCGTATCTCTCGTATCTTGTCGTAATTGAAAATGTCACTGCAATATCACATGCAGAAAGTTGTTCCATTCCCCCTATATGAATCACTGACAATCTGTCATTTATTAAAATGTTTATTTTAGTTGCGTCATATTATTCAGATCTAAGCATTTTTTTTTTGGCAGCAGATATATCTAGGCCTAAAGGGAAATATCATAGGCCTATGGTTTTATTTAGTGTTGGGTATTATTGTAAGTAATGCAACATACAAAGGGGTTTATTACGACAAGTTGATACTGCTAGTCAGTAATTGCACTATAATAACCTTATTTTATTAATAGAAGTCATTTTATAGCCTACTCATCTACATTTTAATTAGCATCATCAGAAGTTGCATCTACCATCTACGGTACCGCCCAGCGTGCACGTTCAGTGACCCAAATCAAACACACCTGGTTGGGCAACCATGGATGTATAATAAGAACAGGATACAGCGTGGGATGCGGGGTCTCGTTCTTTCCTATGGCAAAATGGAACAACTTTTGAGAGAGCAAAACGTCACAGATTACCCGGCATGCCTGGCTGTCAGCGCAGAAGAACCATGGATGTGCGCTCACAGAGCATGCGCCCCTTAAGCCCCGCCCCCCAAGCTCCCACTCTCGGGTCACTAGAATGAATGGAGAGAGAAAATAAATCTAGATTTGGCTTTAAGTGCATTTTACAACTTCAAGGACCTAATGATTATAATAAGGGCTATAACATAGTTCATAATTGGTAGTTTATTTAGTTAAAATATTCTCCGCTGATTTTCAGACGTCTCTTTCCCCATGTTTGTCAATGGGAAAAAGTCGTTTTGGGCCGGGTGACGGCACGGACTGATACGGAAGTTGCAGTACAGCCGTTTGGACACGAATGTCGGGCACAGGCCGTTTCATGTGAAGGCTGAGTGGGCTGGTTATAATGCTTTGAGAATAAACGAGCAAAGTTTAAACTATAGCAGCCTGCAGGACTTCGCGGGCCTCAATGCTCACATGATGAAGCCATACAGACAAGTAAGTAAAACAAAACTCGCCGGCTGCTGTGTTCACAGCTGTTTTTAATCATCGTCAACAGGGGCGTTTCGTGGACCTGGAAACATTAGGGGCTTAGCCCACAGTTCATTAAAGTGGACCTATCATGCTATATTTGAATAATATAGTGTAGGACCATACCCATGCTATATTTGAATAATATAGTGTGGTTACCATACCCATTATAAGGCATATTTATATCTTTTTATTTTTCAATAATACCAAACGATATGCATTTTAGCCATTCTCATTTCGCGCTCAATTTAAACACTGTCTTTGCATGGTGTTTGATTCTGTTGAGAACAGAGCCATCTACAGGCCTGGCATATGTTACAGCGTCCTCCAGGCGCTTTCGAACGGCTATATGTCCGTGATTGTGGAGTCTGGCCCCATAGCCGTAGCGGCCACTTCTGTGGACGTCATAGAAGTGTTCAAATCTGGATCAGTCGTTGCAGCCCCTTTGTATAAAGAGATCTTGTGGATTATAGGAGAGAAGAAGAAGAATAAGGGATGGTATTTTCTGACACTTGGTGGTTCCCTGGAACACCATGAGAGAAGGACACATATTCATGTATAAAAAGACGTACAAAAGTGCATTTTGCATGATAGGTCACCCTTTAAAAGGTACCAGGCTAAAAAGCCCCGGATGGCACCAGGCCAGTGCGACGCCCTGTCCGATACTTATCATTAATTGATCTGGAAAAACTTAAAGGTTTGGTCGTCCCTCAGTGAGGTTAGTTTTAGGTCTGACTTCTACAGACATTTCACTAAGCGGAACCACAAATATAAAAGTAGCCAAATATACTTGATTATGATTAGTCATGATTTTAGCATGATTATTTTAATAGAACATAATTATACATAATATTTGTTGACGTAAGTTATCTTTCATGAGACCCATTGTTTGCCCATTTAATACAATGTGATAGATATGCACTGAAACTGGAAAATAAGACGTAACACTTTAATTGATTTTTGTGTGTTTTCTATTATTATTTCTATGAAAATGTTGTTTTTTTGTTGTTGAAATATTTAGGATTTTTTCATATCTGTCAATAGTCATCGACCTCATGACCCCAAATACATGCTCATGTTACTGGTACTGGCAAAGTCAGATTTGTTTACTGGGTTTTAGTAGCGATCTATTATATGTCTTTAGGCATATGTCACACTTTTCATAGGCGCAAAGTTTGCAATAGATAACACTGGTGGCTACACTGGATCGACATGATGTTTTATTTATACCGTTGAGCAAATTATGCATTTATTTATGTGCTTAAAGTGTTCATTGGCTCCACAAAGAGATCAATCATATAACATGATGTGATTATACGTTTACAATATGCACCCTTTGAAATGCAAATAAGATTCTCGTAGACTTAATGTCTATTTTAGACAGATTTAAAGAGGTCATGTCACGCCAGTTGACTTAAGCAGTTAACTCCACAAGTGTTCCAATTGTTACGCCAAATCTAAAAAGTGCTAAATTAAAAGGCTAATTTCAAGTAGATACTGTAGTTGAATCCATTTTCAGATTTATTTTCCACTTAATTAGTATTTCATATAGTAAAGACAAAGGAAAACGTTTCTCAATCGCGAGGCATGCTTCTTGGTAGCACATGTCATCCGAGTCACTTCCTTTTTCCAGAAGCTAGGCAAGAATCCTTCCTCGCATCGGACAAACGAAGAGTGGAACAGGTCAGGCAATGTGGTGCAGGTGTGCGTCATCATGAGAGGCCCCGCCTTACATTTTCCACCACAGATTTGGGAAAATTGGTCCGTACGCAAAGCATTGTTGGGGATTTTAAGGACCGAAGTCTACCTAAACATTTGTGCGCCTCGACAATTACTCCCAAACCAAGGACGTGGGCTCTCGGTGGAATTCCCAAGTATGCTGGAGATTGGAACACGGTCCTTCGGCGGCACTCGATTGACGTAGCATCCTTGAAATATTGGCTTGGAAGCCAGTTCCTCGAGATTGAGAAACGGCCAGTGGACCTGCTGAGATCTATTAAAACTGCTCTGTGCATATCTGTCCCCACCCTCTGTCCTTACGGCCAACTTAACGCTCTCTCCTCCCAAAGCCGTCAGCTCTGTCTAATTAAAACATTCATCCGCAGCTGTGCCCTCCAAGGTCAATAGTCTGGACCTCTGACCAGCCCCTGCTGTAGGCACAAGGCTTTTCATTAGATTAAAAGACAATAATGAGAAAATCTTTTATCTTTGCATATAATAAACCTGGGAGAAGGACAACTTAATCAATGTGTGGAATTAGACAAAGTTCGTAAATGAATTAGACCTGCCAATGGGGGCTTGACTGTGATCAATGGCAAATGTTAAGCAGAGAGTGGAATGGTTGTAGCAAACAATGGGCATCAAATGAGTCCAAACAAAATGTTTTAATTATGCTGTCTAGGCATAAACTTAGCTTCATCGCGATAACTGACCAACCTCCTGTTAGTGTGTGAGTGTGGTTTGTTGCATTAAATAACGGGCAAATTAATCAGCTACATGTTTGCATGTAGACCACTGATCATGAGGTGCCTTTGACACTTTTTTGATAACTTCTTTGTTCCAAATTGCAACACATGTAACTTCAGAGTAACGCCATCATGAATGACTTTGTAAAATAGGATCCATCTCGCCATACGAGGGCAGTGTTGTCCTTTGAAAAAGTCTCCAGGTTCTCTCTTTAGTGGAAGCAGGTGGCGAGCCTGACATGCAACACTGGGAAAAGACTAACATGGTATAGATGGAGGCAAGGGTGTAACTTTGGTTTGGTTGTGTGTCAGAGTGGGGGGGACACAAAACAGGGGGTCCTCCGAAATGAAAAATGTTCTCAATTTAAGTTCCATTTACCTGTTTTCTACAAATATATTAGGGACTATAACAAATCCAAGAAAAATGTGTAGTGTAATATATGAGTGTGGCAAACTTACCCTAAGTATCTACTCCATGTGAACCTGTTTTATTTGTGATGACCTCACATCAAATCTAGGGGGTCTGGGGGCATGCACACCCCGGGAAATTTTTTTCTTTAAATTGAGTTGAAATGCATCAATCCTGGTGCACTTTGAGGGCAACATTAACAGAGATTTATGGATAAAGCTCTTATACACTCATATGAAACACAGAACCTGTATATATCTTCAATAATCAAAAAACCATTAGAATATGCCCTCACAACCGAATAACAAAATATTTGATAAACTAAACTCCTCTCTCCTATCTTTTATCTTACTAGTCTGCATTACCTTTCTTTTATTTAATGCATATTGACTAATCACTCCTTTCAAAATGTGTTTTTATTTTTGGTACTGACCTATAGTACACATTGGAAGGATTTTCTTAACTTAATTTTATATACTACTAATAGCATAGATGGAAATATCTTGTTTACATAGGATGACCAAACCATTTGAGACCCAATGAGATAACTTAAGACTGAGTTTACAATCAATCACTCAGGTCCTTTACCTCCCTGAGCCGACGGTTATCGTCTCTCAGTCCGACAGGAAGAGCTCTCACCCTCTCCTTATTGTTGAAACAGCTCTAATCTCCGTTAGATCGAGTTAGCACCAAATCTAACAACAAACCCCCGTTATAAATCTGTTTCTCAAATCTCTCCTCTGCTGTCTCCTCATCCTCTCTTCTCTCAATCTTCCTCATCACGAGAGCGCTTGTGCCACACACACACAGACGCTCCTCCGTGACGATGACCGCTTGCGTAAAAAAATTATAATAAACACATTTAAAAAGTGGGGGGGAGACAAAAAATGGGATTTTGAAAAGTGTCATGTCCCCCCTGTCCCCAGTGGAAATTACGCCCATGGATGGAGGCTACTGTGACCTGTTAAATATCAATATAATTCATTATTTAATTTTGCCAAAAGCTTATTTATAACAGTATTTTGGGGTGTGATTAAGTCAAATGTTCAGTATATTTAAACTTTTTTTTAAAGAAAGAAACTGTCATAGTCTGAAGCTTTGCATTGCTTCCCATAAGAGACGCTTGAAATACAGCATGTATATTGA